AATAATAATTTAATAAATAAAGAATAATAATTTAATAAATAAAGAATAATAATTTAATAAAGAACAAACAACAAAAATTGAATAGTTAATTAATGAATAGTTAATTAATAATTAATAATTAATAATTAATTAAATCTAACACCAGATTCACGTTCTCCGTTCTAATCTGAGTTATTACAGTTTTTGTGAAAAAACGTTAATTAAGCTTATTTAATTAATTAATTAGTTAAATCTGACATCAGATTCGAATTCTCCACATTCGAATACACCTTGTCCAATCTTAAAAAATTTCTTCATTAATTAACGACTAATTAGTCAATAGTTAATAATTAATTAATTAATTAATTAAAACCGACTTCAGATTTGGATTCTCCATCCCAAATTACCCTTGGTACTACAAAATTAGCAAAAAAACTAGGGTATAAGTGACAATAACTGAAAAATAGTAAAATTTTCTAAAACGTTTTTGTATTTTACATTTTTCTCGAAACTAGGTTTTTGGGTGCCAAAAACCAGTTTTCCCCCTTTTTCTCGGCCAGTTTAAGTCCGATCGGGTTGAAAATTTTTTTGGTGATACTTTAACTAGTTTGGGGGGAGGGTTTTTTTTTTTTTGTTGATATCTCTTACCAATAAAGTTTGGCAGGATTTGCAAATTTTTCAAGATCCAAAAATGCTAGAGATTTTTGTAGATCTTCAGTATTTTGGTTCCCATTTCGTGAGTTTTTGGAATTTTCCAAAAAAAAGAAAAACCCTCCCCAGAACTTGGTTGAAGTATTCCCAAAAAAAATTTCAGCTGAAACGGATGAAATCTGTGGATTTGCCGGGGGGAAAACTTTAGGCGATTTTCGGACCTTGGGGTCTCCAAAAGTCCATGAAGGGGGGGTCTGACAAATTTTCGTCCGCTACAACTTTTGTCCTACTACTCAAGACCTATCTACCCTGAAAATTTTAAGAATTTTCGCCTTGCCGTTTTCGAGAAACCCCGGAAAGGGGGGGGTCCCTTAATGAGATAAATAACAGAAGAGAAATTGTGAAAGTATTAAGATAATATTTTATTTTACACTATAAGTTCACAACATCCATTGATTAAATCTGATATTCTAACAAAATACCAAAAATTAAATGTAAATTATTGATTAGTCTTTTATTATTATTTTGTCATAAAAAATAATATATAATACTTCACGTATACATGATCTATTTCATTCGATCGGTAGTGTATCCTATTTTTATCATATAATATAACTCAAACATATTTATATATCATGTGTAGATAGATAGTATCAGAGATATGATAATTATTAACAATTAAAGAGAAGTATAAAACCTACAAAGATGAGGAACATGACGAACAACACAGAGAAAATAAACCACTAGAAGAACGACTCAAAAGACAGTACAATCACTAGCAAGATAAGTATCGAAATGACTGACAGTATCACAAGCGCGCCGTATACTTCTTTAATTGAAACAGAAGATAGAAGATGAAACATTTCTTGAACAAACCCCGTTAATCTAATTGTAATGTTTGCGTGAGCATAAAAATCAATAATCAATTTAATTTAAATTATCTTTGACCCGCAAAGTTTATTTAAAAAAAAACAACGTTTAATAACAATATCTGCTTATGATAAACAAAAAATTGTCAGTTTGTTAATATTGGAATGAAAAGGAAATGAATATATACATATTTATAAAAAATAATATTTCCATTATTACACGCACGCACACACACAAAACAAAATAATATTTATTGCTTTGCACCTCTTTCTCTTCGAGTGAATAATAATAATAATAAACAAGAAACTAATACTGAATATTTCTACAACTAAAACATTCGTTATCAAAAATTTATATATATATACAAATAGAAGTAAAGATATAGTAACAAGTAATGTTTAAGTGCGTATTAATAAGAGATTGTGTTGTATATATTCACTGGCAAAACAAAAAACAAAACAAACAAATCACACGGGTTTAAAAAGGAAAATATTTTTTTTATGAAATTGTACAACATTTTGGAGATTTTCTTGTCGGTTGTTTTTCTTTTTCATTTTCATTGGATGAATCTTCAACAAGAGTTTTTCGTTGTTGCTGATGTTTTATAAATGAATATTTCAATGTTAATAATACGGAATGTTGTGGTAATGTTCTATGACTATTACTTATACTAATATGTTCAATTGTAGGAGCAATTATATTTGATTTTTTCATTGTCGGTGATTTTACTTTTGTATTTGATTTTGTTGTTAATAATGATGAATTATCTTCTTCGATAATTATTGGTGTTTGCATTTGTTCTTGATGTATTGATATGGATTGTGAACGTTGATGTTCAATAAGAGTTTTAATTGCATCTGTTGAATCTTGATGATGTGTTTGTTGTAATAAACGTACAACCATTGGCGCATCAGTTTTTGTAAATACAGTTGATTCACGTGGTGTTGAAAAACGTATCGATGCTCGTGATGCAATCGAAAATTGTGAAGGATTTGCAAGACGATGATCACTTGATAAACTACGTGTACGATCATAAGTTATTAATGAATTCATATCATCATTTGTATTAATTAATGTTAAACGATTTGTTGACATTGTTGAACTTGCACGTGAAAAACTTTTTCGTTTTATATAATCATTACTATTTGTTGACGGAATTTGTTGTTGTTGATTATTCAATGGTATTTCATTTAAAACATGTTCAATATTACTATATGATCGTCCACGAGAATTCGGTAAACATTCCGATTCTGGTAATGAATGAGGTGAACGTGTTTGTTTTCGATTCGATACACGATTCATATCAAAATTACTTCCATTATCTTCACTATCAGAACTTGAACAACTACGAGAAAAATTTCGACGTTTAGATTCAATTACAGAACGTAAATCTTTTGAACGAAGAATTCCACTTGTGGTTGAAGAATTATCATTAAGAACATTTGTTGTTGATATAGAAGATTTATCATCTTCATTTTCTTTAATAAAAAAACAACAAATGAAATTAAGTGAATAAGAAGAAAAAATTCTTATTTACCATTTTCAGTAATTTTATTGAGCTTGGATAGATTATTTAATTGTTGAATAGTCATATCCATTTTACTAGAAAGAAATATTATTAATACTAATCTTTCTTTACGAATTATGATTATTTAAGCGTATTGAAAGATTTTTTTCTTAGAAATCTTACTCTGTTGGTGACATGTCAGGATTTTCATCTTCTTCTAATATAATTTTCATAGCTTGTGCAGGTGTTGCTTGTACATTTATATTAGCTGTACGTGGTTGTATCAATGGCCGTTCTTCATCATCTTGAATTGAAACTAAAACAAAATATTTTCTTTATAAATAATTCATAATATGCATAATTATCAAAATTTTCATGCATATTCATGTAAGCAATAAGTTTCATCGGAATAATGCAAAAATATCAATCTGAATGTGGAAAAAAAACAAGTGCAACTACTTATCAATACCAGTTCAAACTGTACTAAATCATATTCAAGTAATTCAGGATAAAATTGTACAACTAAGATTTCATTTTACTATTATCAAAAAAATCTTAATAACATAAGTAAAAAAATACCTGTTACAATTGGTTCATTTGATGAATCATTTGAATATTTTGTTGTTGCTACTATTGGTAATAGATTTTCTTTATCACAACTAAAATAAATTAAAAAGAAAAAGTAGATTTATTTCAATAGAATATATTAGTTTCAATAAGCATTAGTATCTCTTTGATTGTCAAGCAGAATTCTCTTACACATCATCAAGTTCATCATCGGTAGAATTTCGTCTTGTTATCGGTAGAGAAACATCAGCAAAATTAAAACTATAACTTATTCTTTTGCATTAAAAATCAATGAAATCATATTTTTTTCTTTACTTACTTTGAGGATGAAGATATAAATACACCAATTTTTTCTGTAAATGGATCACTTGCTGGTTGTAATGATCGTCGTTTTCGTTTATTATTTCGATTATGATTCGTCATTTTATCATAAGAAAGTTTTTCAGCAAGAAGATAATAGGTTGCTGTTATATGATTATATTGATCTTCATTTAAAGCTTTTAATATAATGTCTTTTTCAGCTATATTTCCATCAATCATTTGTTGAAGAATTAATTTATGATCATCTTCTGATATTGAACGTAATGATTCAATATAGATTTGTTCATCATCATCATCATCATCTTCTCCATCATTTTGACATTGTTGATACCATATATCAGACATAACTTCATCAAGTGTAGCACGTTTTTCTATGTCACGTACAATCATTCGATGAATTAAACTAATTATATTATTATTAGAGAAACATGATTAAGATTTTATTAATTGTGATTACTTTTGACATTCAGATGATACAGTTGATGGAAGTTTATATGAACAATCAAGTATCATCATTACTGTTTCGGAATCATTAGCTTCTTGAAATGGTGCACGACCAGTTACAAGCATAAATAATATTACACCCAAACTCCAAATATCTAAATAAATATACATATATATTTATTTTTTAATAAACTATATAAAGTTCATTATGAATAAATTTACCAACTGCTGGTGCATCATATGGATCACCAAGTAATATTTCAGGTGCTGAATATGCTAGAGATCCACAACTAGTAAGTAATTTTGTGCCAGGTGTAAATCGATTAGAAAAACCTAAAAAAAAATAATATTTTCTTTATTATCTTAAATAGAAAATTCAAATCATACCGAAATCAGTTAATTTAAAAATACCTTGTTTTTCGAAGAAAACTAAATTTTCCGGCTAAAAAGAAAATAGAATAAATATTTATTCGCAATGCAATGTTCATCTTACTTTAAGATCTCGATGGCAAATTTGCATTTCATGACAATATTTAAGTGCTCGACATATTTGTCGAAAATATCTTCGTGCTAATGATTCATTAAGACCATTAGCATGTTTCATAATATAATCATACATATCACCTCCATCAGCTAATTCCAAAATAAGATAAAGTTTATTGGGTGTATCAATAACTTCATATAAACGAACAACATTTGGATGTTGAACTAATTTCATACACATAACTTCTTGAAATAGATGAGCTCTTGATATTTCATCTAATTTTATTTTATCAATAACTTTAACAGCAACTTCCTTCTGTGTAAAAACATGTCGAGCAATTTTAACAACAGCAAAATGACCTGTACCAATTGTCTCTCCTAGAAAGAATTTCCAATTCTAATCTATTTCTTTTGAACAAAAAAATTATTTACCAAGATTATAAAGACCACTAACTAAATTTCGAATATCAGAAAATTGACGTTCAGAAGACATAATTGTTTTAAAAAATAATTACATCTTCCAATCATTTATTGTATCTAGAATTATCCATAAAAAGAAAAACGAAATAAGATTTCATTGATTAAGACTAGAAAACAAAAGAAAACAAAATATTTTCTCTTGCTATAGAAAATATTTTTGTTTTTCTTATTTTCAGCGTGTTTGTATACAAAGACAATCGGTAAATATAAAGAAATAAATATCGTCAATTGACCTTGGATTTTTCTCTCCTTCTATTTTATATGCATGCATGCACATGCAATATATACTTGAGACTAGGATGATGGATGTTATAGATATAATTTTCATGGTATATTTCATAAGAAGGAGAAATGTCTATATGTAAGTCAAGAAACAAATTAATAGACGAAATATTTTGATTAACATGCTTTCCTATTCGCATTTCAAAGGCCATAGGATATCGGTAGTAACACTCTCGATTCTTTATTACCATCATTAATACTACCAAAAATGAAGAAAATATGTATCCGTATTTTTTCAAACGAAAAAAAAAAATGATTCTATAAATACTATCTATCTTTTAGATAATCTTACTACTATACTCATATTTTTATTTATCATTAGTTTGTATCCGATGATTAATGTATTTAGTAATGTCCTTGCTGTCGTATTTGATTACATCTAACTCTTAATATCCCTGAAGCTAATCGAACAACTATCATTCTAATGTACTAGACTCTCTTTACTATGTAAAATAAATAAAAGCAAGAATTCTAAGAGTTGAAAAATAAACAAATGGCATTAAACGAAAATATTTCTAGGGAACACTTATAATAAAATTTTAAAATGAATAAGAAATAGGACAGTTTAAGAAAATTTGTATTTTCAATTACGATAGAAAAATGAAAAAAAAAAATTCAATTACTCTTAAAAACTGAGTTATTCAGGATTGATTGATATCTCTGATGACATTGAACTATCATATCATAATGTTCGCTTGAGATCAATTTTTTTTTGACTATGAAACAGTCGTCATCACCTCTAATAGAAAGCAAAATGACATAGCTGTTAGTGAAATTTAATATTCAAGACTAAAACAAGCAGAAAACAAACGGGAGTGCGCGTATAAGAAAAACTATTTCATACAAACGTCATAATATATAGGTGTGCGGAGGAGAGATTCACATGAGTAAGTTTCAAATGGAAAAAAGAAATGAATCAGCAGAACAAGATTACAAAAAAAAACTTACATATAGTTTATATAATGTGTTGACACGCTGTCAAAAATCTAAAATATGAATTTATTCTATAAGCTGTCATTTACAACCATAGACGACTTACTTAAAAATATTAATTATATAAAAATCATATTTTAATTCTAAAATAGGAATAGGAAAATTTTGAAATCAATAAAAACTAGTTATTTTCATATCAGCTCAGACAGCCAAGACAATCAACATAAAAACAATTCAGTTAGTTTTAGCGAAACCATGTCTTTATTCTTTCATCATAGCTGATAGAAGTATATAGAGCAAAATCATCGCCAACAAATATTATAATATGTATGTATGTGTGTATTTATATATATATATATCTGATCTGTTCTGTATTTCTTATCAATGGAAATGAAAAAAAAACCGAATATCTTTTTTCTCTATATCACAACAAATGAATGAAAGAAGAAGAAAAAAAAACTAAGATCCACAAGATGTCCGGGACATACCGGTAAGAGAAGTCATAAAAAAAATGTGTTATCTGTCAGTCGATTGATTGCGTTTTTTGTTTGTAGATCTCATTCAATAGATAGGAGAGAGAGAGAGAGAGAGAGAGCAAAAAAAAAAGAGAGAAAGAAAATGGTAAAATAAAACAAATGAGTTAAAATATCAGTAAAGAAAGAGAAAAAGAAAGGGAGAGGACAATCAAAATAAACATCGATTTGAATACACAAGTTTCACAGATAAGAGAACAAAAGAAAAACTAAGAAACAAAAGATTTTCTTGTTGGTTTATTTCGATTTTTCCTGTTGAAGTTGTTGAAGACGTTTAAATTCTTTTAATACAGGTAAATTAAGCATTGTTTCATTATCAATATCATTCCAGTTAATTGCTTTTGGACATGGAAATTTATTTTGTGTATAAATAATACGTTGTGGTGTTATAACAACATTGACTGGTCTTTAAAACGAAAAAGAAAATATCAACAAATATTTAAAAAAAATGAAATAAATTTTATTTACAAATCATGTTCAGTCATGACTGATGATGGAAGGTCATCGAGTAATTGACTTTCATGTACAGTTGTTATAACAAGTGTTGTATCGTCACATGCACCCAATTGACGCATCATTGCATACTCGATATCACCATAACCTTTACCTTTACCTTAAATGAAATAGATAGATTCTATCGATTGAACTTTTTTTATATTGAGTACTATAGTTCATAAGAAATTTTATTTTATTAAAATTCTCAATATATAATATGACTCCTACGTTCGATAATCTTTCAGTTCTATTCTAAAATTAATCATAAGAATATTTTATATAATTAAGTATAATATATGATAAACAAGTGAGATCACGCATCGATGCTATTTTCATCTCCGTTATATATATAGATTAAAAAGTTTAATTACATAGTAAGTAAAGTAAAATCAAGAGTAAATATATATGTTAATCAATATTTCAAAAGGATCTGACTACTTTGATAATATGTTTTCATAAGCTCTTATTATTTCCTTTCATCTTCATCTCATTATAAAATGCACGCAGAGTTTTTCTTTCCATCTCTACACATATAAAAAATATAATTCATTTACCTAACCGAGCACCAGTAATTGGATTGACGACAACAGAAGCAACAACAACAATATCAACATGAAGATTTCCAACAGCCGTTAAATTAACAATTGTACCAAGAGCAGCAGTGCCTTAAAAAAGAAAAATAATTCTTTAAAAAAAAGAAAAAGAAATAATTTACCAGATTTTGTTGCTGCACGTGATAAATCATGAACATGTAAAAATTTTGGATCAAGTTTATAAAAAAGTGCATTATCAATGGATGGTGCTGGTGTAAGAAGTACTTTGCCTAATAAAAAAAAAAACTAAATAAGAAAAAAACATATTTGAATTAAAATAATTATTAACCTTCAGCTAATGAAAATAAACGTAAATGTTCTTGAGCAAGACTAGGACAAATTTCAATAACACGTGCTCGTTGAAATTCTTCAAGTTGAGCCAAATTTGTTGAACAATCTGGATTATTTCGAAAATTTGGAATACGTCCATGTACTAAAATAGAAATATGGATTTTTTTTTGTTTTTAAAATAAATATATTATTATTTCAATAGAAACCTGGATGTGGATATAAAATTTCATTTTTCATTTCCATAATATCCCAAACAAGTGTACGTGCACGTGCTTTAATAAGTCGAAGTGATGCATCAGTTTCGGTTTTAGTTGTTGTTTCAGTAACACTATCATTATATGATGTAACCCAACTTTCAACATGTGTTAATTTAGATAAAATTCCTGGTTGTTTAAGAACACGATCAATATGTACTAATTTATGACGAATATCACGTATTGATATCCATAAATGAACAAGATCACGTGAAACAAATGTTGTTGCTGGTAAATGTTCACCACCTGGATTACCATAAGCTAATGCAATTTCTTTCATTGATGGATCGGATAATGTACGAACATAACTTAATTTTGAATGTTGTCGTGAAAGTGGTGGATCTGGTTGATTTATATAATTTAATTCAAGTGATGATATATGTGGAATATACAAAGCACATATACAAATATCCGTTTCAGGACCAAATGCAATAAAACGACAATGTCCTTTGAAATCAATCTATATTATATACAAAAATAATATTATTGTAAAATATTCGCGTGTTTTAAGAGAAGCTTTTAACAGTTGGATGAACATTTTTATATCGCCTAAGCTATTTTCCTTTTCTGTATCAAATAAGCCAAGCTTAGAATCATTCATTCAAATTAGAATTGACCTAGATCGAGTATAGAACTGTTTTCAAACAATGAATTAAATATAGAATATCCGTTCAAACAAAAGAAAAGTTTTCGATCTATCGTAAACCGGATGAAAAATATTTCCATTGTTGTAAATGGAAGCTATATACATTTAGAAAAACGTTTTGGAAACAGACATTTCATTCAAATCGAGAAAAAATAGCGTCGAACATGGATTAATCAATACTAATGTAGGTAATAACACAGTGGTTTTAAGATAGAAGAAATTTAAATATCATGAAATAGTATGGTGTAATAATCCTAAAACTCTATTTTCATTTAACCATATAGAAAAAAGTTTAAAATTCTTCTTAACATGCAATTCTGTAAAGAAGATGATTAAATTCCTTATTTTTGAAAAAAAACAGGAAGATCAAAGCCTTCTACTGCGTTTATTTCTAATTATTTTCCTTCCTTTAAAATAATTAAAACTTAATATTATTATATTTCGGAATATCTAGTCTAGAATACGTGACTTTTGTCAAAAATAATTCATGCTTTAACTATAAAACTATTGAATAATTAAAAAAAAAGAGATTTACTTTATTTTCAAGATTTTCTTCATCTTCTTTTTTAACATCAAATAATTGTCGAAGAACAGTTGAACCTTTAATAATTTCACATACAGTATGAATTGAACCCGATGGAAGAATAGGTGAACAATAAGGTGTTAAATAAAATTCTTGTGAACGCATATTTGATTTATTACTTGCACCACTAATTGATGGTGTTGATGAATTAACTGCTGGTGATGCTGGTGTTTGTGGAATAACTCGAAAATCATATTTAAGAAGCACATGTGGATATGATTCGAGTAAACATACAGGTAATACAACGACACGCATTTTTATTTAAAAGAATAAAATTGAAAGCTTTTTTTCTTCTTCTTCGAGAGAGAGTTATTTGATTGTTCTAGAAAAGATAACACATAAAACAAGAATGTTTTGATAACGAAAAAGAAAATAAATTCTTGTTTATATTTAATTGTCTAACTTTTTCATTTTCGTTAATTTTTAAAATCTTTCTCTCTCCTCCATTTATTTAATCCATATAAAACAAATTTGAACTTAAAAATAAAAACGAAACGTTCCTATGATAAAAATATTGATTTTTATTTATAGAAAATATGTTCAAAAAAAAACTTGTTTTTTCTTTATCATCAATTGACAAAGTGCATAAATGTGTTAAATTTTTTAAATGTAAACCGATTGATTGATTATCTCTATAATACATATTTATTATTATTATTATTATTTATTCTTTTTTTTTTGTGAGATCATGCAATAGAAATTCTAATTGATATTTAACACATTGGACGTTTTTATTTTCTAGTTATTATTCATTGAAGAAAAGAAAATTTGAAAAACAATCTTTAATTTACAAAATTAATCATAACATCAAATATTTTGACGATAGATACATAGAAAAAACATGACACTCGAACTCATTCCGAATGGTGATCTCATTTTTAAAGGTCCTTTCAATGTTGTTTCAATAACAACACTTAAATTATCTAATAGTGGAAATGAACGACTTGCTTATAAGATAAAAACAACAGCACCAAAACGTTATTGTGTTAAACCAAATAGTGGTTTTCTTGATGCACATGCGACTGCAAATATTCAAGGTATGCAAAATAAAAAACAAAATAAATTCGAAATTTTGCTTTTTTAGTTATGTTGCAACCACAAGCACCAGGTCAACCTGATGATCGTTCGAAACATAAATTCATGGTACAATGGGTTGCTGTACCAGCTAGTTATACAGATGACGTAGACAATTTTGTAAGAAAAAACATTCCGCTTAAAATCAAAATTAGAAGAGTTTTCTTTTTTTTTCTAGTGGAAACAAGATTTAAAAACTCTTAATGTACAAGATTCAAAATTAAAATGTATTTTTGCTGATGAACAAGCAGCAGTTGTACCTAATGATTCACATCCTGTACCAGATTTAGTAAGTTATCAAAAAGAAAATTTCTTGAGATAGCAATAGTAAAAAAACAATCCGATAATTCGAATGCAATTAATATTTTCTTTTTTTTGCTGTTCTGTCATATTGGTTTAGGTGATAAATAGCATTGATTTCGTTTTCATATTTATTGTGTATACTCGGTTTAGGTAATAATATGAAAGGAAAAAAAAATTTTTCGATATGACTGATTCGAACACGTATCAAATTATTTTTATCTACAAATATCATCAATCATCGAAATTAGTTTGATCTATATATTTTTTTGTATTTTAGCCATCATCACCAGCACGTCCTGTAAGTACATTATTTTATTTTAAGTTTTGTTTTTGCTTATCCTTGTTTGACTAATTGAAAACTAAAAAAAGGAAGTTGTTTAGTTTTTTTCATATTAGTGATATGATTCGTTTTTTTTCAACCTTTCTTTTTTGCTTGCTTCTATATAATCATCGTGCGCGTTTAGACTGAATCAACAAATGTAATTGATAATCGTACGCAACAGACAACATCTTCAACATCAGTTTCAAATCAACGATCATCTCCAAGTATTTCACGTGCAACAAATTCTATTCAATCACAAAATCAAGATCGCCAACAGGTTCTGTCTTATATAAGATAATAATATTTAGCTAAAATTCGATGTTTATGATTTGCTTGCTTAATTTTGTCTTTTTTTGATGTTTAACTTAAAAATCATTTCATTTCTTATGTTTACTTTTTTTTAGGATGTTGATGTTCCAAATATAAAAAATTTGAAACAAGAAATTGATCGTTTGAAAAGTGAAAATGAATCTATAAGAGTATTTATCATTATTCTTGTTTTTTTAAATCTAATAATTCAATTATAGGACAAACTCAAACAACAAGAAGGTGGTGTCCGACAAAGAGCAACAGTTGGGAATCCCACTGTCGATCGATCGAAATCCAATCAACAACAAAATGGTCTTGTTATGTTTGGTATTGCTTTAACTGAACAACTTGTTCTCGTGGCTTTTGTTATCGCATTATTATTTGGCTTTTCACTCGGTTATTTTTTCTTTTCCTGTAGCAATTAAAATAAACAATATACATTAACACACAAAAAAAATATGTACTAATAACTTCATACACACATAAACTAGCCATTATTATTAATACTTTTTTTTTAATGCGCATGTAAAAATTCTAACCTTTCAAGATAGGAAAAATAAATGTTAGATTTTTTCTTGCTGTTCCGGTGTGTGTAACTTTACAAGATCGTCTCTACGGATTTACATAAACGCGCTTTATTAACCTTACCTTTTATGTTCAACTCTTTATTTCTATCTTTTTGTCCAATGTAATCAATGTATTGTGTTTATATGTATATGTCAAACAAGATTAAGTCATTAAATAACATACAAATTACAAACCAAATGTGAACAAGTTTGTCTAATGTTCTTCACGAGTCCTTCCTTATTGATAATTCTTTTCTTTGTTCTTTGTGTATTCATATTTATCTTAGAAAGAAAACTCTCTATATCGTTTGACAATTGAATGAATCCTATGTAAGGTTTCTTTTCTTTTTCTCTTTATTTAAGCATTTGTTGTATTGTCTTACTTGGCTTTTTTTTCTAATCATTTGCTCTTCTTCTTCTTCTCCCTATTTTTCTTTTCTTTTTGGAAATAAGTTAACAAACTAACATACCCAAACATTTTGCAGTTAATACTTTTGTTGTCTTTTGTTTGAAGATTTTGATTTTGTTTTGAAAAAAAAAAGAACAAAAAAAAAACATATGCCTAGTGAAATTATTACATTACAACTTGGACAATGTGGCAATCAAAGTAAGTGAAAATAGGAATGATTTAATTAGATCATACACACTGCGGAAAGCTGTTAAAGAGAAGATCTCGGCATCCGTTTTATAATGAAATAAAAGAGCCGATAGAAAATGTTAGTTAAGCTAGTAAATTGCTAAGATTTCACTAGAATTCATAATAAGATTATTGATGATGACAAGTTCTTTAAAAACTTTGTTCACTTTTTTTTCGAAACAAAAGTAATTCATTCATAACTTGATAAATGTTTTTAGTTGGTATGGAGTTTTGGAAACAATTATGTGCTGAACATGGTATAAGTCCTGAAGGCAAATTAGAACCATTTGCACGAGAAGGTTCTGATCGAAAAGATGTTTTTTTCTATCAAGTTCGTTTAATATTAAATATAAAATGAATATGCTTATATATCTTTATTCATTTATTTCAGGCTGATGATCAACATTATATTCCACGTGCTGTTTTACTCGATCTTGAACCTCGTGTCATTGATGGAATTATGAAATCACCTTATAAACATTTATATAATCCGGAAAATGTTTATATTTCAAAAGATGGTGGAGGCGCTGGTAAATATTCTATTGATAAAATAATTTCAAAGATAATTATTATTTTGTTATAGGTAATAATTGGGCACAAGGTTATCATCAAGGTGATAAATTGACTGAAGAAATATTTGATATTATTGATCGTGAAGCTGATAATGGTGATTCTCTTGAGGTTAGTTTTATTATTTAGATTATTATATTTTGAAATTTTATTTCTATAGGGTTTTGTTCTTTGTCATTCAATTGCTGGCGGTACTGGTTCAGGCATGGGTAGTAATATCCTTGAAAAACTTAATGATCGGTGAATAAAAATATTTTAATTAAAAACAAATTTTATTTTATATTTCATATACGCTAGATTTCCAAAAAAATTAATTCAAACTTATTCAGTCTTTCCAATGACCAACGAAGTGGTAAGAAAAATTTTACTTTTCAAAGTCTCATAAGACATTTTTATGAGTGTAAATCGAGATTAAATATAAAATATTCTCTTTCTCTTATTTAATTATGAATTTACGTATTCCCTTGAGAAAATTTTTTTGTTTACGATGAATCGTCTTTAACTATTAACGGAAAATATTCATGAATAAGATCACATTCGATATCATCTCGGAATTGCAAAGGGGCATAACGAGTACGTCATTATTTTTCATCTGGATACAATTGAGATTTGCAATGAGTGACAAAATTAGTCCAATTAATATAGAAACATTTTATCAATTCCTGAATATTTTTGACAAAATCTTTTTCTTTACATAGGCAGATGTTGTTGTTCAACCATACAATTCTGTATTAACACTCAAACGTTTAACTGAAAATGCTGATTGTACTGTAAGTTAAATTTATTGAAATAACAAAATGAATTTAAATTTTCTTTTCTAAAAGGTTGTCTTAGATAATACAGCATTAAATCGTATTGCTACTGAACGCCTTAAAAAAGCAACACCAACACTTGCTGAATTGAATCAATTAGTAATTTCATCTTTACATATCTTCTTCATTTTATTTGTAAATTTTTATTTAAGGTATCAACAATTATGTCTGGTAGTACATCGACACTTCGTTATCCAGGTTATATGAATAATGATTTAATTAGTCTTATATCATCACTTATTCCAACACCACGTTTACATTTTCTTATTTCGGCTTATACACCATTAACATCGGATAATACAGTAAGAACAAAAAAAAACTTTGAATAAACTATGATCATAATTGTTATGTAAATATCAGGAATCTGAAGTACGTAAAACAACTGTTCTTGATGTGATGCGTCGTTTATTACAACCAAAAAATGCTATGGTTACAACAGCATCTCGTGATAAAAATCTTACACATTGTTATGTATCAATTTTGAATATAATTCAAGGTGAAGTTGATCCATCTGAAGTAAGATTAACTTTTCTTTTGTTTTTCATTAGAAAAATAATTCTAAATTAGGTACATAAAAGTTTAATGCGTATACGTGAACGTAAATTAGCAGAATTTATTCCATGGGGTCCAGCATCAATTCAAGTAGCTCTTTCAAAAAAATCACCTTATATAACAACACAACATCGTGTTAGTGGACTTATGCTTGCTAATCATACAGGCATTTCATCTGTATGTATTTGATATTTTTTATTTTATTAAAATAACAATTCTAAATTGAATTTTATTAGTTATTTGATCGAATGTGTGACCATTATGATAAATTAATCAAACGTGAAGCTTTCATAGAAAATTTCCGTCGATTACCAATGTTTAAAGATAATCTTGATGAATTTAATGATTCACGCGAAGTAAGACATGAAAAAATGAATTTAATGTTCTAATATTAAAATTTAGGTTGTACAACAACTTATGGATGAATATCGTGCAGCAACAAGAAAAGATTATATTAATTTTGGTAATAAACAAGCAGGAGCTCAGGTAAGAAATAGAATCTTTTATTTTGATTCATATATTCTTTCGTTTTTTTTAAAGGGTGAATGAACATAGCAATGATTTAGTGCTAATTCTAATTGTTTTTTGTTTTAATGTAGAAATCGCTTTTTTTAATGACCATTTGTTTTTCTTTTTGTGAATAAAAATAATGTTTTAATTAATCAAAAAATAAATTTTATAAAATGACCAATATTGGAAACAATCATTAAGACTGATTAGTTTTAAAACTAAAGATATTAAAATGGAGAAGAATGATGTGATGTTTTAATAGTATTAGTATAACACTATTTGATTCATATCAATAAAATTGTTCGTAACTATCTTTCTTAGCGCTATCATTATTTTCTTTTTATGAATATTAAACGTTAAGATCGAGAAACTTTATACTACAGTCATTTGTTCATATAATTTGAAAAATATTTATTTTAATTCAATGATTTTCATGTCTCTGTCAGATATTCATGGCAGTTATATTTGATGATATAACTAAAATTCTTGAGATATTTATTTACTCGAATGCATGGTCTTTGTGAGATCAAAATCAATTTCTACCGAGCGTTGATGTTCTATCATTCATACTTACAACTGAAATTTAAACGAATAAAACAATAAATCAAAAAGCTTGACGCTCAGTTGAATATCACTTGTAATAAAGTTCTTTTGTATTTGAATCTAAGAATTTCTCTTTTTGTCTGTGTTACAGTCATATCTTCATATGCCTTCATACATTCTTTCACATCATATCTGGTTTTTCGTTATTCACATTCTTTGTTTGTTTTTCTTTCTTTTTTGTATTTTCGTTATTCATTCGAATAAAACACAACGTGAAGAGAGTCGCTCTCACAGTCTGATTAGTTATATTAATGACTAATATATAATAAATCCGGTAAAATAAAAATATATGTTTAGTACTTTGAGGACGGATGACCCCGGATGAGTCATTGTGATTTTCTAGTCAGTGACTATTTTGAGATAATTCGGGTTCTAGTTAGATTATCTTATTGTGATAATCAGTAATGAATAATAGATGTAACACAACTGGTTTTCATGGAAGAATTCACTCAAGTCTAAAATTCTAGTAACAAACGTTGGGTTATGACCAGAAAAACAATGTGATTTACTGTACGACACTTGTCCTAACTGATCCAAAGCTATTAAAATGAAGGCACATCTGAGAAAACAAAGAGGCGAAGGTTCTATACCTTCTGCAATACAACAACAGCTCTATAAAAAAATTATTAAAACAAGATGTGTGTTGTTTACATTTTTTCTAAAAGCTCCATCTCCAAACGATTAAGTAGTTTTTCCTTAATTTTATTCGCTAGAAAGTCAAATCTATTATGAAACTTTCTGCCATCTAAGACTTGATAGTAAATAATCATGATGATAATGTATATTTTATTTTGCTATGGCAATTCTATGAGTATATTGATGATAGAAAGCTTTTGAGTTCACAAATCGAATCAATAAGAGACACACAAAAAAAAAGAAAAAGTATAGAAAGCTACATTTTTCACAAATAATGGAAGTAATATCAGATAGATTCTATTTAAAGAAGAAGAAGAAAAAGAGTTTTAGTGAAAAAAAAATTCTCATAAGATAAGTAAGAAGTTTATAAAAAAAGAATGATGATTGAATCTTAAAGATTGCATTATTTTGTACACACAAATTGAAGTCCGTATCTGACATTTTAATTTTGAAATTGACTTAAAAGATGTAATGGTTCAAGTCGTTTTTTAGTTGTACCTTTAGCACGTGAATCTAATTCATTCTGTCGTTCAGCTAATATTAATGGTTTCTTTTCTGGTAAACGCATTTTCCATTGAACAATTGGCTTAATTCAAAAAACAAAATAGTAATCAATTAAAATCTTCAACAGAATTTTTACCTCTTTATTTCCTGATTTATTACGATATTTAGTTGAAGCAATATACGATGCTTTAACTGTAAGTACAACAGCACTCATTAAATTTTTTGCTGCTGTGATCAATGAAGTTGCACTATCAAGCTAAAACACAAAAATAATTAAATAAAAATATTTTCAACAATTAATACTTACTCCACTAACGATTAATTCGCCACTTATATTTTGTACATCAGCTTTAACTTTACTAGTTATATCTAATTGATGACAATAAAGTGTAATACCTGAGGAAAGATAAATAAACAAAATGACAATATTGTATATATAAAAAATAAAATAATTCTTTACGATCAACATAAGCAGCAAGATCTGATTTCGATTGAGATTCAACACACTAAAAACAAAAGAGTTTTGATTTTTTTTTCTAATAAATAAATATAAAGAAATCTCACTTGTGCTGCAATGTCTTTTGCTATTTTATTTAATTTTGATCCACATTCAGATATCATCTTAGCAGCATGTATAACATCCATTGTTGTACGTAATGGTCCACGACCACTAAAATAAATAAATAGAATAATTTAATAATGAATAAAAAGGAGATATCCCTACCGAGTAAAATCAGTCATTTCCATCATAATCATACACATTTTTTTTGCAAGAACAATGATATCATTACCACGATCATCCCATTTAAGAACTTCACGTTCAAAATCACGTTTTGTTTTTTTAAAACCTTCAACTTGTAATTCAATTTGTTCACGTTCTTCTTTTGGTAATCGTCTCATCATATCCTTATTAAAATAATTCATACTATTAAGAAAAAAAAAGAATTTTTCTTTTTTGAATATATACTCGACTTGGATTATCAGTTTTGCCTGGATACATTTCCACATCAGTTTGTTGACTATCTAATGATGGTCCATGACTTGATGTTTGAGATTGTGCATAGATTTCATCATTAAATCCTTCTTCATCATCACTTGGCCATTCAAGATCCTAAAAAGTTTTTCGAATATATACACAAACTTCGCGCCTGAATACGATTTCCATCCATGAAGGTAGAATGGATAGAGAATAATCACACACACTTGAATGTAGGTCAATTTTCTTTTAGATCTAAGCAATAATATATACTCAAGAGAAATCTCAAATTAACTAACGCTACGTTTCCTGAGAATACATGAAATTATAGTTATAAGTTACGTTTTAATTTCTTACCGGATTCATCAGTATACTATTACGAATATCCCGTATACCATGATAAACATTACTTGATGCTTCAATTAATTCTTGTTCAGTTAATTCATACTGGAAAAAGAAGAAAAAAAACATTTTGATGACAAAAATCATTTTATTTACTTTTCGATCATCTGGTGCAGATTTCATTCGAAGAATATCAATAGCTATTTTAATTCTTTCAGCAAAACTTGGTACAACTATACGAAAAAAAAATATTTTTCTTGAATAAATATATTGTTTTCTCAAAAAATTATCTATTTACTTTGATCACGAAGAACACGAACACTTTCCATAACAGCTTCTGTATATTCTCCTGGTTCATATTTATCCATTTCAGCAATAACTACATCAATAACACGATCTGATCGTCCTCGAATTGTACCAGCTGTACGATCAACACCTGAAAGCAAATCAAATAAATTTGTTTTTTTTATTTTTAAATAAAATATGAATTGATATATACGATCAGGGTTTTGTTCAACCATTGCTTGAATACATGAATTAATATCTTCAAGTATATGATTTTCCGAAATAGCAAGAAAATCTTCAATAGTTGTTATTTCATCAACAGCGTCAGTTAATAAACGAACATGTTTTTCCCATGTTTCACGAAATACATCGAGATTTTCAAGAGCTATTTTTGATGTTGAACGAGCAGCAAGTATTCGTGCAGCATTAATAACCTATCACATAGATATTTATGAAGAGTTTCATATTAAAATATAACATACTTGTGGTGTAAGGTTTTCAATATGTTTTGCAGCTAAACGAACTAATTTTATACCTTCAATTGAATCCGACATTGAACAAATAATATTTGAAACCTAAAGGGAAGAAAACGAATTGATATTTGAATATGAGATATTAATGAATATACTTCGATTAATTTTTTAGCATGATCCATGAAAACATGAGCTGTTTCTTCAACTAATTGAATATTACCACGTCGTGCTGCATCAATTAAAGCAAGAAGTGGAACATTCGTAGCTACAAATGTATCACTAACATGATCCACAGCTGCTTTTCGAAGCTAAAAAGAAACATATAATAAAATTTTAAAATTGAAAAGAAGAAAAAAACAAAAAAGATATTTGAAATATTTTTTTTCTACCGATTTTGTATTATCTCCTGTTGGTGTTAAAAAAGAACATTCAAAAGATTCTAATGATGATGGTGATGATGATGATTCTCGATACATTTTAATACTTGTACTTCTGTATGTTGGAGTTGGTGAAGCACCACATAGATACACATACATTTTTATTTGTTGTGTATGTGTGTGTGTTCAAAACGTTTTGATGAATAGACGTAATGAATGACTCAATCATTACCTATGACTGAATAATGATGATGATCATGATAAAGATAATGATAAAACACATTTTGACATTTAGTTCGTCTACCTCTTAATAATTAAAATGTGTATATAAAAGTGAATAGACTACTCTTATGTCTTTCGTTCTCATCGAAATGGTCATTTATAATTGAATAAAGAAGAAAGAAAGAAAGAAAAAAATATATACGAAGGAATAGAGTGATTCTTGATTTTGAACAGTAAGTGTAGACAAAAAATTCATTGAATTCATAATGAGAAAAATGAATAATCAATCTTAATTCATTTTACCTGTTTTCTTAAATCACGTGTTTTTGTTTGCATTAACTGAATTTTACCATTGATAATTTCATCTGAACTTTTCTTTTTCCCCTAGATAAGAAATAAATCAATATAAACTTTATTTGAACAAAATATTCTTATTAGTTTTTTTACATAACGAATATATTCATCAAGTAATTCTTGTAAAGCTTGTCGAACAGCATTACATTCTTGTACAATTCTATCACGACGATCTTCTCTTGTTGATAATGAATCAGCAAGTAATGCAGCACCTGATATAATACCTTCAAGATGTTCTTCAAGTTGTGGACGAATAATTTGTTCATTAAATTTTTGTGGTTTTATCATAACAAGACGCTAAAATAAATAAAACATTATCATCATCTATTATATAAAAAGTGTTTTCTTTTACATCAAATTCATTTAATGCTCTTGTTAAATCTCCAACAGTATTCAATGATGGATCAATTTCTAATGCTCCCGCTTGACCTTGTGTTATGGAAGAAATAGTATGAACGGCATCACGTAATTGATTATAAACAAAATCACGATTTTCACGTGATGATGGTATTTCAGGATGTCGTAAATATGTTTTTGCTGAAGTTAATAACATCATTGATGATCGTTTTATTGTAGCACGTGCAGCAGCTAATTGTTCTTGTTCATTTCGATCGACCAAATCCTTTCAAAATAAGAAAAAAATATATACATATATTGTTTTTCGAAGATTTTACTTGTTGTCGTCGTTGTGTATGATTAGTTAAATTAGTCATATTTTTTCCATATTGTTTATAGAATTGAATTAATTCTTCTTGATTTGATGCATCACGAATATGTTGTAAATCGTTTTCAACCTGGCAAGAGAAAAAAAAAGAATTCAATAAAATAAGAATTGAAATAAAATAGGTACATACTAAACGAATAGATTTTAAAATAAGTTGAACATCAACATAATCGGCTAACATAAGTAAACGAGTTACAGCTGAAAGTAAAGCACGAGCAGCAAGAATCATTTGTTCACGTTTAGATTTTGAACATGGATCATCAGCAAATTCTTTTGAAAGATCAGCCATTTCATCACCTGTTCGTTTAACTTCTTCCATACATTCTAATAATTCATTTCGCATATCAGGATTTTCATGAACAATTTCTTCAGCTTTATTAATAAAATTTTCTATTGCTTGAATAACATTGGAAACTAATAGATGAGCTCGTTTTGATTGACCTTTCTTCATATTTGAGGGTTGTTCAGATACTAATGAAGTTACCTAAAACATAAATCAATTCGATAAACTTTATTTTGTAAAAAAATGACATTTTTATAATGTTTAAATGACCTTTGATTAAAGAATATATATGTATCGATTACAGAAGAAATCGGAAGGATAAAAATAAATCAAAGTTTACCTTTCATGTGTCAATTAAAATTAATTATATAAAAAATATTTCAACTTTTTTAAAACCATTTATATCAAAGATTAGATCCAAATTACTGAAAATACAGATTCAACATAGGATCCTATGAAAAAATTATGTTCTATAATTATGAATCAAATATGTTAGAAATTCTGTCTTAATCTATGCCATGGGCGGATTCAGGATTTTCATGAGAGGCTGGCGGTTTAGAAAAAAATGGAAAGTAGTATTTTTTTAGGAGAGAAATCTATAGTGTTCTACCTCTTTTCAGTATTTGTCAAAGTATCTATTTTCGAGAGTTGCTCATCAAAAGTCATGTTACTGCACAAAAAATTGATTATTTCTACGGCGGCTGGAGCAAATGACCTGATTTTTTTTATGGATATTACAGACACACCTAGAAAAACCCCTTGATAAATATATTGTTTTTTTTTTCATTGAAGTCATCACTTATACTACTATCTGTCTTGTTAAAAACAGATTATAACTATTTTTCTATCAGCAATAAAATAATCTTGACTTATAGGTAACATAACAAATCAATATACATTTATCTCTATATGACTAATCATATTGTTTCTGAATCTACCTTTTGTTCTCAACTCTATTTTATTTATTAAAAATTTTTCAACAAAAACATCTATTCTATAATAAAAGAACATTGTACATTAATCAACTAATGATTTTAAAAGGACATTTTAACCTTTTTCTTTTTTTTTTTAATAAATCATATGCATCTTATAGACATAGTGTATTGATCACTTAATAATCATAAACTTCAATATTGTATTCAAACAAAGGAAAAAGAACTTCAACGTTAATTCAAGTGCATAAGCATATTCTAATGGTCTGTAATAACTCTAATTTATTGCTCATATATGAAAATAAGAAGTACTCCATTATTTTAATTAAAAATTCATTATTAACAAAATAGTGAATAATAATATTACAAACCTCAGCAACTAATGGATCTAATGTTCGTTGTATAGACCATGTTTTAATTTGAAGATCGCTTGGATTAAATTTTGTATTCATCATTTATTTATAATAAACGAAACAATCTTTTTCTTTGATTAAAAATGCCAACTTTGACAAACAGAACACATAAACTTTTTCTTTCTAGACCAATAAAAATTCTTGAACTACTTTACTTACAATTGGTCAATAAATTTAACCTGTAGATAGGTTCGATGATCTCATCAATCGATTCGAAACTGTCGTTTTACATATATTTTTTTTCTTTTATGCCGTTGTCGAGTGAACGTACACTTACTTTTTTCTCTTCTCTTCTGTTATGTTTATTTCTTCAAACGAAGAAAAAAAAAACTATTTCTTTCTCCTTTTTTTTCTTCTTTTTTCATTCAAGTATGTCTACGTCCTTCAAACACTTCAAGTCAATATTTTTTTGTTTCATCATTGTATTTCTTGATGAATAAAATAAAAAAATTATTTTCCCTTTTTTTGGCATTTAATTTTTTTCTAGATGAATGATTATAGACAACGTCTTGGTCTTAATCGACGATTTGAACCACCGACAACATCGATGGGTAAATTCTTCTCAAATCGCCTTCGAGATTCATTACATTTTGGTGGAGCATTAACAACAAATGAAAGAGAAAATTTTGATGAAACATTAGCTGATAAAGAAGCAACACCTGAACCACCAGTTAGTGTCTATGATGTTAATCGTTCGATAATTACACCAACATCATTAACAAGTGGTGAATCATATTTTACTCAAACAACACCTGATATACATAAATTTTCTCGTCGAGTAGAACTATCATCAGGTTATAATATATTAAAAAATCGTACAAGTTCACGTCCAGCACGTTTACCATCACAATTACAAGGACGTACACCACTTGCTCAATTAAATCCATTACCTGGAACAATAACACCAACAAGTAATCTTGATGATCATCGTCAACGACGTCTTTCTTTTACTGATCATCATCGTACACAACAATTGACTTATAATCAACAGATTTTACAAAAATTTAATGCTGATGGTACTCGACGACCATTTTCATCAGACAGTCCATTGCCACCACCTTTACTACCGCATTCATCGACAACAGTAACTTATATATCATCCGCACCACCTGTACATAATCGTACAACTTATCAGCCAGTTGAACCATTAAAATTAGCATCCGAACAAGAAGATAATTCCATAGCAGCATTATCACGTGAACTACGTGCTGCTGCATATCCAACGACATGTAAATCTTCAAATCATTCACCAACACGTGAAACTTCACCATCAACAACACGTTATTCAACTCGTTCTAATTCAAAACGTGGACCACTACCACCACGTTCATTACCAAAACTACATCCCAATGAACAACAAACAACAATATCAAATACTAAAATATCACATTATCATCATCCCCATCCTCCTCCTCCTCATCATCATCAACAACAACAACATGAAGTAGAAAAGCATCCATCAACAATCGAAGATCGTTTACAAAGTTCATCATTATTACTTGATCAAATGTTCAATGTTGAGCAATTATCAAGCAAAGAACCAATAGTACAAACACATGAAATTATTTCTGTTACCAATGAAAAATCAAGTAATTTCATATATTTAATCGAAATAAACTTTTTTATCAAACACGAATATAACATGATCTATATCATAATAGTATATATATCTAAAAAAATGTAGTCAAATAGGAATCTTTCTATTTTTTTTTATTATGAATGCATGTTTTCAACTTTATTATACTTTCTTAATCCAAATATTTTCCTTTTATAGGTCGTGAACAACCGTCTGTTCTATTATTGAGAACTCCTTCATTATCAAATCCTACTGAAGATGCAACATTATCATTTGTTTCTAAATTTGCTCGTTTAGCCCCTATTATTCCTTCACATTCAACAAATGGAAATACTTCTATACTATCACCTGCTGATGAAAATAATAATAATAATATAAATCGTTTATCATATATCGAATTAAATTATCATGAACAAACTCTTGATACACTTCATGATCTATCATCATTTCATAATGAAAATGCAACTATAACTGATGATTTACTTGAAACATCGAATATGAATTATTCTGATGATACAAATGATGAAATTACCGATGATTTCTCTTATGTACCATTAAAAGAACAAATGAATGCTTTTAATACTGTTCCATTACTTGAATTAGAAGAATTGGAAACAAATAGTGATATAAGTGAATCCCAATTAGTACCAATTAATTATGCTAAAGAATTAGCAAATGAAATTGAACTTTTACAAAAAGCACATTCACTTAAACAACAACAACGATCAATGGCAATGAATAGTGAAAATGAAAGAATGAATGATAATAGTTCTATTCCACCACCTGCAAATATGGAATTATTAAATTTTGAAGCATTAGAAGATGAATTTTCAATGTTACAACATCACGAAGATTTAACATTACCTTCACCAAGAATTCCATCAGTAATGATGGAAATTTCATCTCCATCTATACCTATAGAACAACCTATATCTCCTCTTTCATTAACAGAAAATGAAACACCAACTGCAAATATTTTACAACAGGCTATACTTGAACATAATCGTTTATCATCATGGTTTAAATTACCAACCGAACTTTGGTTTAAAATTTTACCATATTTAACTACAAATGAATTACATAATTTTTCTTATGTTTGTAAACGTTTCTATTTACTTACACAAGATAAAGCGTGTCAACATCGAATAACAATTAATTGTCGAATGCAATTAGAACAACTTTGGTTTGATATTATTAGTAAACGTAAACCTATTTCACTTTCATTTATTGATCGTCCACAACAAAATCTTGAAAATACACAACAACAACAACAACAAGAACATAATATTCAATGGAAAGAATTTTTTGAATCAATTGGTTCTACTCTTTTTGATTTTACTATGACTGGTTGTTATCATGAACCATTTACACCTAATACATTCTTACCATTTATCGTTCAACACTGTTCAAATCTTCTTTCACTTAGTCTTCGTTGGAATAATATAACAGAAACAACATTAAATCATTTAATAACTTATCCACAATTTATAAATTTACATACACTTGATTTAACTGCTTGTCAAATTTTAACTGATACAATTTTAATTGATATATTTATTCGTACAGAAACAGAATTTCATTTAAAAAAACTTATTCTTCAAGCATGTACAAATTTAACATGGATAAGTCTTGATACAATAGCTATTTCAATACCAAATTTAGAACATTTAAATTTAAGTCGTTGTATTGGTTTAAAAAATCTTACAACACATGAAAATCATACATGTTTTCATTATTGGTCTAAACTTCAATATATTGATTTTGGTCATCTTTTAACAATAAATGATAATGATCTGACAATTATATTTAATAATTGTAAATATTTAAATACATTTATATTTGATGATTGTATTAATTTAACTGATGAAACATTAAATAAATTAACAACAAATTTTCAAATGATTAGTTTAAATAATTGTACAAATATAAGTACAGCTTTATTTTTAAATCTCAATGAACAATGTCCATATTTACATACGATAAAACTTAATTCAATAAATAATTTTACTAATGAATGTTTAATAAAATGGTCAAATAAACCGTTAATCGAATTAAAAAATTTAGTACTTGACAATTGTAATCAATGTACATTGAATGGAATTGAAAAATTTCTTGAAAAACATATGAACTTACGAGAATTATCATTGAATGGTGATATTATATCAAGTTTACTTGAACAAAAATTTTTACAACAAAAATTTCCAAATATTAAATTTGTCTTTCAATAAAATATATTTCGTGATATTTAGTTTCGTTTTTCTAGTATTTTCATTTTACCTAAAAAGCACAGTGTGTATAGAATGCTTTTTTTCTCATTCACAAAAAATGCGCATGTTAATATTTTGTTTTATTTCATGTTTTTTATGTTAAATGATAAAATGAATATTTATATATATAAATAATCGAAAAGAAAACCGTCCACAACACCACCAATTCTAATTTGCATATATATTATTGAATACTATCTGTTTTTAGATTATCTTTTTATTCGTCGATGGGATAATTTTGTTTTTGTGAAAAATACTAAAATATATACATCTTAAATAGGTAAATTGAAAAATAAATAAAAGAGTATTCGAAAAATGTTATCTTTTCAAAGAGGTAA